CCCCCAAACATTACAGGCTTTTGCCAATGCTTTTGATTACCCTCCAAATGTGCCAGTAAGATCATATTGCTGAGGACACCACATCCTTGAATCATGGAACACGAAGAAATCTAGCTGGTATTTAACTAGACGCTTCATCCCTACTAGCTAGCTTTCATAGTGATGAAAGGTGCTAAGCATGAGACTGGAGAAAAGCAATCAGTGATCTCACCCAGCTGTGAAGCTTAAAAGCTGCAAAACCAGCCTGCCTGGAGAGACATGCTCACCGGTGCAATGGAAGCACAGTTGTTATGAGAGTAGCCAACCACGTTTCTGTTGAGTTTAAGGTTCATCAAAGAGATGGGACTCATAGCTAACACTGCCAATGGAACCAAGATCCTGTGGCTTGATGGGGCATAAGCCCTAGGGGAAACCTACTTTTGTCAGTCTGCTGAAAGACATGGAATTAAAGTGACCCTTAATGACTTATTGAGATAGACCAGTATATTGATCAGAACTCATCAGGAAGCTTCTTCTTGTAGTAGATGGCAATTACCACAGAAAACCACAATTGACCAGTATGCAGAGCATAAAGGACTTTAGACTGCTCAGCCCCACGTGGTACATATATATCACAGTCTTCTGTTGTGGAATATTCCTTTACACTGGGTCACTGTGATTGGTTTGATAAAGAGTTGAATGATCAAGAGCTAGGCAAGAAGTGGTTAGGTGGGACTTCTGGGAACAGAAAGGACTCAAGGAAGAAGAAATGCAGGTCGCCAGCCAGACATGGAGAAAGCAGCGTGAGCTGTAGAAGAGATGAGGTAATGATCCATGTGACAAATTGTACATTAAAATCAATGGATTAAGTTATAAGAGTTAGCAGGACAAGCCTAAGTTAAGGTCAAACTTTCATAATGAATAAGTCCCCACGATGTTATTTGGGAGCTGGCAGTACAGAGAAAGACTTGCTACAACCCTCCTCTCAAGGCTCAGGAATCATCGTGGATGAGGTGGTGAAGGGATTGTAACAGCCAGGGGTGGTGGATGATTTCAAGGAAGCAGTACTTGACAGACTCAGCAGGTCAGATGCAATAGAAATTCAGAAATTGTGAGTGTGTATAAGACCCGAGCAAGCTCATGCTAGACAAAATTCCAGCACCGGAGAGGGGAGGTGAGCATGAGGTTCCAACCCTGGTTGAGGAGCTCTTGGCATTTGATTGCTGCTGAGAGAGGAAAAGTCAGTTTTCTTTATTGGTCAATCACACTCCAGGGCAGGCCCCACACCAAGGGGTAGTCAACACCAACTGGATGAAGATAGATAGATAGATAGATAGATAGATAGATAGATAGATAGATAGATATAGATGGATGGTGGATGGATAGACAGACAGACAGACAGACAGATAGATAGACAGATAGATAGGAGGCTGGGAAGGATGAAGGGAGAGAGAGCATGAAGTTGTGTGGATAGGAAGATAGGGAAGGATATGGGATGATGAATCTAAGCAAAGTACTTTGTATGAAATTCTCAAACATTTAAGAACACCATTGAAATAAGAAAATACTAAGAAAAATGATTAGTGGAAGTTTGCAATTAAAACCTAAGGATTGTCTTTTGATTGACCAGACAGTTATTAATCAATTCTAGCTATGGTCTAAGAATAGGTGGCAGTTGATCACCTCTATGAAAAAAAGAGGAAACTGTCAAAGAAAATAGGAAGTTTAATTTATAACACCAAATTCAATTGAACAATGTAATAAAAATTGAAAGAGTTTCATCTAAAACTTTTCTTTTGACAGAATAATTCTGGTGTATTGCTACAATGGATGGATTCTTTTAGCCTATTTCTTATTTTTTTTTCCTCATCTTTTTCTCCTTCCCTTAGAGCAGAATGAAAAGGGAGAGCCTGCAGACCCAGAGAGAGTGAATTCCACGGGACAGAGATGAGAAGGTTTATCCTGGAAAACCTTTGTGTTTTTTTTCTATTGCAAACTTCATATGCAATTGCTTGTTTTAATAGTTCAACTTTCAATACAGCCTGGAAGTTTAGTTCCTGATCGTGTGTCTTTGGACACAAAATTTAGTCTTTTTTTTTCAGTATAATAAGCCAAAATTAAAATAATGGGAAGTTTTAAAAAGTACTTATCTAAAGGAAAGGACATAAAATTATTTGAACATCCTATTTGTCTAAATACAATGAAACAATACAGATGAAATAGTATTTGCTTAACTCTAACAAAACATAATTCTTTACCTAAATATAATAAAATAGTTTGCGTTTTTCTCTTAAAGAAGTGACAAGCATGTGCTCTTAGAGTTACCCTGATATGTAAGGCTCAGTAAGAGGTCATATTAGCTACTCAAGGATTATTTTTTATAAAGTTGAGATCATTTATATATAATACCTGCCACACAGAATAATTACTAAAACACACAATTGTTTTTATGAAGCAGTGTATACAGTCTGATATCCGGCAGCTCATCAACAGATGTTATTTTTATCCTTTTGCTTTTTCTTCTGACATTTTTAAATTTCCTCCATCTTGCACGTTTACAAATTCTGTGGAAAAATACCACAGTTCTTCTGCTCCTCTAAAGAGACCATTATTTTTCTCTGGACTCTAAAAGATTTAGCTGTTTTTTAGGTCAATGAAAAACCCATTCAAAATTCCTTTTGAATTTTCAACTGCATAGCAACCAGAGTGAAATTTTGGCATTTCTGATGCTGTCAGCTGAGCATGAGTTCATAGACATTTCCAGGAATGGAAGAAGCGTTTTAGTGAACAGAGGGTTGTTTCTTCATTTTCCACATAATCTGAAGAAATCATCTAAGCTACTCCAATTTGAAAGACTTTATGGTATTAAAAAATACTGTTTTATAACTGACACATTTAATTGCTGTACTTTCAGGGGTGGACAGAAAAATGTCTTTAATCATACTAATTAGAAATTGGGACATAACTAAAGCAATGTGATAAAGTTATAATTTCATTAAAGTATTGATTCAATATTGTAATAAAACACAAGATACATCATAAGAGAATATGACTCAATTTTTAAGATGATGCTGAACAAAGTATGGTGTGGTAGGATCCTGATGATGTACCACAGGTGCCAATGGTTTTATTTTCAAATGAGTAAATACCAAAAGTTATAAATAAATGTAACTTAAGATATATTTTAAATTATTCATATTCTCTACAGCAATCACTGTGTATATAAACACAATATTTTGACATTATTTCTAGAGAGTGTATTTTTATTAACATTTAAACTTTTTTCTCCCTGGGTGTGACGATCCACACCTTTAACTGAAGCACTTAAGAGGCAGAGGCAGGTAGGTCTCTTGAGTTTGAGGCCTACATGGTGAGATGATATTTTCTTTTTCTCTGTAGGTGCAGAAGATGATGAAATCACCAATTCCTACACTATCTGCACATGGGGGCATTTGTGGATATCTGCAATAATTTTCTGCTTGATGTTTTCACTCTTACTTCTTTACCTTCCTGTCTAAACTTAGCACGACAGAGTTTTATACCCGTGAGCTGTTCTTCGTTTGCTGCTGCAAAACTACGAAGCTTTTTTTCTCTTCTTTCTTTTTTCTGTTTTCTTTTTTTGTAAGGTGTTTTCCTTCCTCAGCCCAGAATTACAGATATGAGCACCAATACCCATCAATGTCCCCCAAATCCGTGATTATTATTATTCTATATAAATTATTATTATTTTCAGTACTTGCTTAAACTCAGCAATTCATACATGTGAATAAGTGTTCTATATCCCCATCACTCATAGACGTCTTAAACAGGTTAAAATGGGAAGAGATTGCTGTCAGCAAGTTTTATATTGCACACTTTCTCATTCACATTTTAAGATATGTTTTTAGCTTTATTAGTTTTTAACTACTGTATTCCGATATCTTGTGGTGGATATGTGCCACATTGCTTTGAGAACCTTTCGTACCCTTTATTTTATTGTATTAGATGTAATTTGCTGCTATTTGATTTGAATTTGACTAGCAATTAGTTGGCCAATTTAAAAAAAAGTTGCTAATCCAGATTTTATACAATTATTCATATATTTAATGTATGTTATTACTCTCTAAAATTTATATGTAAATATATGCCTAATCAATACGTTGTGTTGTGGGTTAATTTTTTTGTACACTGTGAAGATGTGTCTCTGACTAGGCACCTTCTGATTATTTAATAAAGAACTGAATGGCCAATAGCTAGGCAGGGGAAGACAAGCGGGACTTCTGAGAAGAGATGGGAACTCTGAGAAAAAGAGAAGTAGAATTCACCATCCAGACACCAAGAAAGTGAGATGCACAGTACAGAGCAGAGGTAACTAGCCACATGGCAGAACATAGATTAATATAAATGGGTTAATTTAAGTTGTACGAGTTAGTTGGGAACAAGCCTAAGCTAAGGTCAAGCATTCATAATTAATAAGAAGTCTTCATGCCATTATTTGGGAGCTGGCAGTCCAAAGAAAGACAAGCAATAGTATTGAGATTTGGGAACTTGGATTCAAAGAACACATCAGTCTTTAAAGCTGCAGTGGTATTATAGGTTCTGTTCCCAGGACCATCACCTCCTAGTCTTCTTAACAATACTAGACAAATTCAATAACCCATTCTAACTCAAGAACGTTAGCAATTTAAAACAAGTAAAAAAACACATAGTTTTTCTAGTTCTACTCACAGCTAAAGAGAACACGTACCCAAATATGCTATGCTACATGGTACCAAACAGGAAGTACCTGATCCTCATCTTCAGCAATAACGTCTACAGAGCATCTCACACCAGTCTTGCCCCTCAGATAAAATTTCAAGTGACCCCCACATACCTTACAGCACACTCTGATTCTAAAGCCGATGTAAGTTTTCTGGAATAACTCATTAAAACAAAGAAAACTTGGTTAGTTACTTTTCCACCTGAGCCTCCACAATGAAAAGACTGGATTATGAAAAACAAAATTGAATATGAAAATAAAGGTATGAAAAAATACAAGTGACTTAAAAGTTCTTTAAATAAGAATTTAATTGTTCAATTCAAATTAAATGCAACGAAATGAAATTTACTTAACTGCCATTAAATGATTTTAGTAATGAATAACTTAAACGGCTTTGCCCGCAAGGAGGCTAGCAGCGGCTTCTCTGTGCAGCACTTTCTGAGGCGTGTCCAGCTTCCCTGTCACAGGTCGTCCGATTCTGGCACAGCGGTGTCTTCTGTAGGTTCAGTTGTTATCACTACAGGAATATTCTCAGATATCCATCCCTTCGGAGTCCTGTTAAAGGACCGTCTGCCTGAAAGAGGATTGGCAAAGGCCATGAACCTGGGATCTGTTAGCAGCAGGAATTCAAAATCTGGAACTTTGAATTTAACCATTTTTGATGCTTTTTCAAAACCGCCAAATGGAGTGGCAACTCTGTGGGAATCAAAAGAAAAGCAAATAATGATTAATATTCAGTTTGATTTGTCATTAAAAATTCATAATTTTTATAATTTTCATACAATTTCATAATTTTGTAGACTCCAACTGATAATTTTCTGTTTGAGGCCCCGGAATCAAGTGATTTCATGGATGGTCCACACGTTGCTAGGGAAACAGATAAAGGACAAATTGCTGCAAAGCCCCTTTGTATGGACTCTTATCTTTGAACAAATCTGCTCCCTGCATCATTACAGCCAAAAGCCTCTGTGCTTTTGCTGACTGCGGCATTTCAGCTCCATCGTCCCTCCGACTACCCCAGCTGACGCTCCCTTCCTTAGATCCCTGGGGTAGAGGTTGTTTCTATTAACCATGTGGTACTTGGTAGATTGTACTATTCATGCATGTTTTTAAGATTATCATCTGCTTGGGGGCATCTGTGAACTCTTTGAAGGTGAGAAGTGTGTCTTGTGTATGTTTCTATCTTCATCTTAGAAATTTCAAAATTTGGGAAAAAGCGGCCATGAATTTGAAGGAGAGCAGGGAGGAGCATATGGGGGGGCTTGGAGGAAGGAAAGGGCAGGGAGAGATGTCGTAATGAAAACATAATCCCCAAATAAGCAAACAAAAAGTTTCAAAATTTCCCCATTTATCTCTGAATAACAATCTAACCTCTGCCATTGCATACAGGAGCTCAGATACATTTTTAACTTGGTTGATGTCAGGCATTATTTGCTCATTCATTGGCAGGCATAGTTCTCAATGACCAAAGTAGATAATACAGTTTCAGATCTCAAGCAGTGAAGGGGGCATATAGCAAATTAAACCCACACAAGAAACTATTTCACAATGATGATCTACGCAGCACGTTTAAACAGACTGATTCTGTGGATAATTGAGTGTTTAATTTCTTTAGATTGAATCATCGCAAATATTTCTCTGGGGAGAAAAAATGACATTTAAACTACCTTCTGAGGGCGAGAGGTTAGCTGTTAGCATGTAACAGCATGTCCACTACAGAGAAGAGGCAAAGGCAGATAAAATTTTGGAAAGTTCAGGGAAAAGAAGACCTATCTTTCTAAATTATTATAAATTCTAAAAATATTACAAAATTATTAGTTCAGAAACACTTGAAATTTTATATACTGTCTTGAAAATTTTGTCAAATTTCTAAAACAAAGTCATGTTTTGAAACAAACACTGGACACTGCCCAACATGTTTGTTTTTCTTTGAACTCTGCAATATTTGTTATTTTGTAATAATATGACAATAAGTTTTTAAAATTGAGTCTGTATCAATTTAAGTTGAGCCCTTATTTTATTCACACATGTGACATGGGTTTCTCCGTATGTGTTGGATTCAGGGTTTTCTGTTTGTTTTGTTGTACTCAGGGTCAAACTAAGGACTTTGTGCAATCTGATAAGCATCCCACGCCTGAGTTACATTCCCATCACTGGGTTCTTGTTTGCCAAATGCTTAAAATGTGTATATTTCTAGAAACAGCCTTGGCGTTCCACCTTTTCAGTACTCAGCTATATTTTTTCTAGTCAGACCATAAGCCTCCATTATCACATATTATCTTAATCCACCTAAGAATGCCAAATAACATGGGGAGAAGGTAGGCGAAGTGCGAGGGTGGGAGGGAGAGGGAGCTGGAATTGGTATGCAGAATATGATTTTCTTAAAAATAAAAAATAAATAAGTAAAAAAAAGGAATACCAAAGAGCAATTACGAAAATTATCATGAAAATCCTTTGTTTCTCAGAATGTGCTAGAAGACTGTAAGAAGAAACCAAAGGCATCGCCATTACTCTCAAAGAAACTGTAATCCCTTTAGAAGCTGGTCAAGTTCTCTTCCTGTAGTAAAGGTATGCTGTACCCAACTGTGTTGGAGAAGTCTCCCAGAATGTACAGGAAGCAGAGATGCAACAGATAAAACAAGTGATAGCTGACATTGAGGACATTCAGGCTTCCGGAGCTAACATTGAGGACATTCAAGCTTCCAGAGCTAACATTGAGGACATTCAGGCTTCCGGCACAATAAGAGAGCGGTGAAATCTCGATCGGAGCCAATTATTGATAGAGTGTAACTTTCTTGAAAGAAGGGAGAAGAAGCTGAGTCAAAAAGAGTCACCCCATTGAAGGGGGTTGTGGATGAATCTGCTTGTCTAGGGGAGGAGGAGGGAGGGGGTCATTTGACTCACAGAGGGGTCATGACCCACAAGGTGAGAACCAATATTCTAAGATAAATTGCTTAACATTCAGGGCTTCCCAAACATTATACAAGATCAATTCATTATTAACATAGATGTTAAATGAATGCCTACTAGGTCTCAGGTGCCATTATAAATTCTAAAGTCATGGTAAAAATAGGACAAAGTGGTACATTTCACTGGTGTCTGCGTTAAAGAGGGAGACTCACGGAACCAGAATGAATTGGCCATACTGGAAGCAGTGAGGAGTACCAGGAAGAAAAATAAAACACGCTACTTATTGCAAGGAGGAAGGGCACCATTTAAATTCACTCACCAAGACTTGGTAAGATAACACAGAGCCCTCCTAATAATTAAAAAATTAATTATTTTAGACTGGAGATAGAGCTCAGTAGTAGAGTTCATGCCTAGCGTGTGAGAGGGCTTGGGCTCAGTAAGAACACAAAGAGAGGAAAGGGGGGATGGGAGAGAGAGAGAGAGAAAGAGAGAGAGAGAGAGAGAGAGAGAGAGAGAGAGAGAAACTAGGTAGGAATAATGGAGCTCCTGAATCAAGCATGGCTACATGCATTAGATGAAGAGGCTGGAGTCGAGCATTTCTAAAGTACGCAGAAGCATTAGGTTAAGTGGTTTTATAGCTATTCCAGAAATAACATTTGCTCATTTTAAAATTATTTTCTGGCTTAAATCTCAAAGGGAGAGCTCCCCAGCGCCCAGCCCACTGCTGAGGTTTGGCTCTAGTTTCCTGTCTTCTCTCTTTTTAACCAATGGCAGTTTATTTTTCCCAAGAAGCCGGGAGTAGTTTTCCAGCCTTGCAAAGGACAATATCCCTTCCGTTCCATCGTCCACTTCTGAGCTCCCACCACAGGTCCAGTGGAGGTTGCTGTTTGGAAAACAGTTTTCTTTTCTTTCCTTTGCAACGGCTGAGAGGACATCCTGTTGATTTGGGCTCTGTTGCCCTCTCCGCGGGCGTGAAGGAGAGCACAGAAGGATCCAGAGTGGTAGATTGCCTGCAAGGCGCTGTGGGCCCGTGGAAATACTCTGAAGCTTCATTCCAAGTTAGCGGAGCAAAAATGTCCAGGGGAAAGACTTCAAGTCTTCTTTTAAGATGAAATTGTATCTCTATGATTTCCATAATACTAGCTTTTCAGAAATAGGTCTGAGTTAAGATGGTTTTCACATCACGTCATCTCCGTAGTGAATAATAAGCCTGTTTCTTTCAGATTCACAGATGGATGCTTTCTTGTTTATCCTGATGGTAGTCCATTTGTAAAATTAAACAACACTAGATGTATAATATACTCACAATAATTGTTATTTTTTTCTGAAAGTTAAAGTGTTTGCATAGAAACTTGAAAAATAAATTATTCTAGCGAATAGCAAAAAAAGTGTGCTATATTTAAAGGCACTTTAATCATAAAATATGTTCTACAGATGAGAAAATTAAGCTAAATATTGCTTCTAAGGTCATATAGCAATTTAAAGCACAGCCAGGATTTTCCTGTCTCTCAGTTTATTTCTCGTCTGTTTCACGGGCTTGAATGTAGCATGGAGTTTGAATACACATGAAAGGAATACAAGAACAAAACGCTGTATTCAGATCTCGGTCATTTTGAGATTGTAATTATCCTTGGGAGTCGCTTTTCTTATCATCATTTTCACTACTGAGTGTTATCAGCCTGTCTGACCCTTGTTAATAGCCAATGATTATGCCAGAGAACAAGGGCGCACTAAGCTGTAGTAGCTTACTTCTTGCAAGGACTTGGGGATATGTGGAACCTCTCTCTCCCTCACTCTCCTGCTGTGTGTCTTTGCCATTTGTGCCACAAAAATGAAAAGGTTGCATCAGAATAAGGCCTCAGTGCAGTAACATGCTGAATAATTTAGTGAGGCTAGGAGAAAAGCAATACATACTACTAAGTAAGTTACTTTGGAAACATGTATGCATAATAGTAGATAAACTAAATTCTTGGTCAAATCATAGCCTCAAAATCATTAGTAGTTTGAGAAAATAAAAATGTGTTGACCTACAATGCCCATTTTATACCTGGAATTCATTTGAACTTCTCTTTTTAAATGTCTGGACTGTATTCTGACGAATTCAATGAGGGGCCTTTGTCACACTGAATTTATACGGGTAGAGATAATTACTGGAGTTACTTTGTCTATATGATAGTTTTAAGTAAAAAAATATATTGAAGTACAAGATACACAAAAGAAGCACTCACAAATCACAGATTTGGCCATGAATATTATTAGAATAATTTATTTTCTAGCTATTTGCTCCTGGTGTATTTGATCTTGACTGTGTGGTCTGCACTCCCGCCATGTTTCCCTTCTAGCTCTGGTGATTGTCTATAGCTCCTTTTGGATGTTCATGGACAGAATCACGCCATCTGTGCATAACGGCAACCTTGCTTATTATTCTTGTCTTAGTGTCCAATAGGGGCCAACAAAAATCTGTGTCTGAATACATGTGTATAACTCTAAAATTTAACTTTGACCTTTAAAGAATACTTTCCATGGATGAGGCATTATAAATTGGTAGTGATATCATGATTTTAGGTGCTATTTCATGATTTCCATCGTTTTAGTTAGGAAATCAACTTGTTTTTAATTCTTTGGCGACGTACTTTAATCCTGACCCTTTAGAATTTCCTGCCTCGCTCACTCTTCTCAGCTTCTGTGGTGTTTCCTGAGGCTTTTGTGTCTTCTGTCAAGTTTGAAAAGGTCTTGTTTCTGTCACGTTTGAAGAAGTCCTGCCCATGTTGTGCCAACTCCTCCCAGAGGTCCTGTTCTCCCAGATTGGCATGACCGCTGCCCACTGCCCTCTGCTTTCCTTCCTCTGGGAATTCCTTCACCCCCCGTGTTCCAGCTGGAACATTGTCTGTGTCATAGCACAGTCTTCTCTTCAGCTGTGTCCACTGTCACCAAATCCATTTATTAAGCGGAAAGTATCTCTAGCTCTCAATACAATCCATGTTCAGACAAACATGTTAAAGTTTCCACCACTTATATACATCTAGCTATCTTGAAACTATTATATATAATATTATATACATATATATAATATTATATATATATATATATATATCCGTGTTCAATTATAAACCCCCTTGCCCCTAGAAATAGTCAATAATTTGAATTTTATAGTACTATAAACACCAAGTAATTTTTAAACTAGAGGACATTATACTAAGCCGATCTGAAAAGATAAATACTATATAATTTCACTTATAAAAGTATTTAGAGCAGTAAAAATCTGAGGACCGAAAGTAGAATGATGGCTGTCAGAGACCAGGAAATTAGGGCGTAAAAATCCTGTCCGTGGGAGCTTTGGTCTTACAAGAAAATGTATCTTGGGGATGGTACATACACTGTGAAAATAGTAAACTCTGCTGGTCAGTGCCTTAACATGACGAAAAGCGAGGATTCGGGAAGATGGTTCAGCAATTAAGGACGTGCCCGGCTCTTGCAGGTTTCTAGGCTCCCAGCATTTAAATGGCGGCAGGCTGCCACCCGTAGCTCCAGTTCCAGGGGACCTCATGACCTTTCCTGCCCTCCGTGGGCACCATGAACACATGTGGTGCACATACATCCAGGTAGAACACTCATCCACGTAAAACAAAAGACATGCATCTTTTAAAAAGTGGTTAAAGTTGTTCAATTTTTACTATGTACTATTTACCATAATAAAAAGTTGACATAAACTTAACAATCATAACGATGATATGAAATCTAACATTGTATCATTCAAAAGGACCGACTTTTGTCACTGCAGCTGTGTGACGGAAAGGAGGTGGTGTTTGCCCAGCTGACTGAAGCCACATTGAGTGTGTTGAAGTTGGTCTACTGTTTGCCTTTACTCCAAAGGAGTGTGCTAACGATTTCTTCCTGAGAGCCTGGAGCAGACAGCAGGGCTTCTCCTTGAAAGATCCTAATTCGTTCCTGCTTGTCCAACTCTCCAAACTGCTCAGTTCGGCTCATCCCCTCAGCCTTGTATGTTTTACCAGTGAATGCCTCTCCCCACAAATGGCATCAAATATTGGGTTTAGATTCTAAAATTTTCTTTTGTTTTCCTCTGAGATTTTGGTCTTCAAGATATTTGACTATCTTTATAGCTTTTCAGCCACTTAAAAACTATTATTTCGCCTGCAAGGCAGTTCAGCAGGTAAAGGCCCCTGCCGTTCTGATGACCTGAGTTCAACCGCTGGGTCTTACTTGGTAGGAGACAAACAGACCCCTGCAGATTCTCCTCTGAGCTTTGTGTGTGCTCTGTGGCATGCGTGCTGACCTCCCACCACACAAACATGATGGAGAAATTTAAAGAAATAATAAGTAATAAGTAAATGGTAACATTTAAATTGTTCGTCATTTTTATGAAGTTCTTCGTACAGACCCCAGTGAATTAACCAGATAAAACTTTCTGAGTATTAGTAAGGGCGCAAAAAAAACAACAAAAAAAAAAACCTGAGTGTCCACTCAGACTTAGACACCTGTGTTTGTAGTTAGATTATTTTAAGATCAAAGTTGGTTTCCTACAGAGGATTCTACTCCCTGCCCAGCAGTGAGAATGTCTGGGTTCCACAAACCCACCGAGTCACGCTGGATAACCGAGTTACCTGTTGAAGCTCCTGTAATCTGGCAGTTCTGCCTTTCCTTCGGGCTTGAAGAGTTTCGGGTACAGAGCCTCCAGGAGCTCAGGGTCGCCGCCAATGGCCTGCTCCCAGGGTGACTGGTAGTACTTGGGGACGGCCGTCGTGTTAAACCTTTCCGGGGGGATTTCCTTCAGGGGTCCAGAGTATCCTTTGGGAACAGAGCAGAAGGCAATCAGCAGGGCGCCCTCCGTTTCTAACGCTGTCCCGCGTTTAGTGTCTCTTGCTGGGGTAAGTTTATGACGGACACTTTCTATAAGTCACCGGAAAGTAACCAATTGGAGACATTTAAAAACTCTTTTAAGCTTAAGGACCTTAGAAAATACGTTATTATTTTCACCGTCAATCATCATTATTATTAACTAACACTTATTATTCTAATGATTTGCTTTTCCAGATTATGTTATTTTCCCCTTGACTATACATTACATTTATTTAAGTAAAACTATTATTTTTAAATGTGCTCTTTTGTTACTTTACATGAGACTCAAAATTTATTATTTTAAAGAATATCTGAGTAGCCTTATTGTTATGAACTTCTTCACACTTTAAAATTTTTACCGAGCTAAAAATTTTAACCAGACTGTGGTGGGCCAAGTCTTTAATCCCAGCATTCAGAAGCAGAGGCAGGTGGATCTCAGAATTCGAGGCCAGCCTGGTCTACAGAGCAAAATCCAAGACAGCCAGAGCTGTTAAACAGAGAAACCCTGTCTCGAGCAAAAACAAAATAAACAATCAAACAAAAAAGAAAAAGAAGAAAATTTAAGTATTAGCAATAATGCAAAAATGATGATATAGGCTACTAATGATTACTGAGAGGAGAATTAGCCTCTCCCAAGAACGAGCCCCCCACATTTGTTCATCCAGTACAAAGTAATCAGCCCTGAAGCCATATACACACAGACAAAAATAGACGCAAAAGATTGTATTTATTTATTTGTTCATATATGTGTAATGGCAATATCTGTATACATGCAGACATATATAACATATATGTAATGGTTTTAAAAGGCGGCTATCAATTTGAGAGTGAAAAGGGGTAGGAAGAAGGGCACATGGGAGGGGCTGGAGGGAGCAAAGGATAGGAGGAAGTAATGTAATTGTATTTTAATTGAAATGTAAAATTAAATAAATAAAACTTTAAAGATTTGTCAAGTACTCATTATATCTTAAAGACTATGCTCATCACACTTAGTTCTCACCCCACCTTGTTTTCTTTGTTTTAAATATTTTAAAACGTCAAACCAAAATAAATAATTTTCTTTTTAACAATGCAATAGTAAAATAAAAAGGAACAAGTGGACAGAATGGGTGTTGAATTCAGCCCACTGTGACCCAAAAGCTTGCTTTCTGCCACAACTTTTGTTTGGAACTACTGAAGAACTTTGTTACCATATTGATCTTAGAATATTGTGCAGTTTAATTGTATTTACTCATTCTTCTGAAGTGTTGTTTTGATATGTCTGTCTATGTTTTTTTCTCAATGTGATCAGTCAGAATGCTTCTAAACTATCAAGTTCCGCAGTGATTGATGTTCAACATATCTTCTTTAAAGATTAAATATTAGTGAGTTGGCTCATATACATTCAAAAATAGCTCATTACTACTCTGAGAAAAACTCCTGCAGTGTTTTTCCTAAATTGTTTGTTCATTTTCTAGAACCCAAGAGATATTATTACTCATTTCACAGTTCAATCCCGTAAATTTAAAAAAAAATCTACTTTACATAATGCTTTTAAGGAAATATTTGAATTTTCAAAGACAAAAAGTACTTGCTGTAGGTTATTTTGAAGAGTTATCAATTAATTAATATATTTTTTCCTAAATATCTCTCTCAGAAGGTAATACTATTTCTAAATGATGCATATTAACTTAATGGGATTCGTTTTTAAAACAAATTAAAAGCTATGTTTTTTTAATGGGTTTTGTTGTTATTGTTGATATTATTTGTTTCTTTTGAGACAGGGTCTTAGTTGCCCAGACTAGCCTGGAAGCCATAAACCTTCTGCCGTAGCTTTCAGAGTGCTGGGATTAAAGTAATGAGCCCCTTACACCTAACTAAATCTATGTTTTCTAGACCGCATATAAATCCTTCCAGAGAACAGAAACCAGTGGGAAAGCTGACACTGGGAGCTGTCTCCTGACCTCCACATGCACTCAGCAGAAGTCTCTCTCTCTCTCACACACCCTCACTACCCCCCACACCCCCCCCACACACACTCATACACTCTTTCACACACACTCATACACACATACTCTCACACACACATTCAAACATTCTCTCTTTTACACACACTCATACACTCATATAGGTGCACACATGCTCTCTCTCACACACACTCATACACATGTACTCTCTCTCACCCACACATACACTCAAATACACACGCACACACACACAAATAAATAGAAATTTTAAAAAGGAATACCATGAACGGTCTGAAAGAATATATAACTATTATAAATATTTTACATGATTCTTTTAAACTTCAATTGTATTTTTGTCTTAAACTTATGAACAAAATATATTTAATGAGAAAAGCTATACCATTTAAATGTCATAAAGTAGTATTTTTAGATACATAGAAATTTTACTGTCCCATTTGAAAGTGGTTCATTACCTGGTGCAATGTTCTCTGGATTTGGGGGACTTCGTGGATCTGGGGTGTTGGGAGGAGTTGAGGGGGCTTGCTGTGGACCACCTTCAAGGTTGCTGCCATCAATTTTCCCATTCTGCATGGCAATTTTGTGCTGTAGTTGTTCAAAAGTAAGATAAAACCATTATGCACAGTAATAGCATATGTAAGCTTCCATTTGTATATCAAGAAATTAAACATAATGGCACTATATTGTTTCTCGGGACCTCAGTAATTTGCACTGTAATAAAGTTGAGCAGTTCAATAAAAACTTATGTGTATGTCAGGCTATCATCCATTTGACAAAAATTAAAACCAAAATTAATTTAATATTACTGTGTGCATGACAATATAGAGCTTCCCCTCAATTTATTTGATTTCTGTTCATAATATCACTGCGAGAAATATGTTTACTTTTAATATCTTTACCAGTCTAATAAAACAAAGCATATTGGCCAAACATTTGATCTAGAGATTCTTTCATAAAATAACGTTTCTATTCATCTTTTGAGAATTTTATACAATGTATTTTAATCATATTCATTTCCCTCCTCAAATGCCTCCAAGATCCTCCTCCACTTTCTTAAGCTCCATGCCTCCCCTCCCCCATTGAGTCCTACTGTATTGGCCAACTGCTCCCGGCTGTGGGGCTTGACCAGGTCAACCAGGTGTTACGCTCTTAAAGAAAACTGACCTTTCCTCTCTCCGCAGAAATTAAATAGCGAGAGCTCCTTGGCTAGGGTTGGGACCTCATGCCTACCTTCCCTCTCCCGTGCTGGGGTTCTGTCTGGCCTGAGCTTGCTCGGGTCCTGTGCACCCTGTCACAACTGCTGCGAGTTTCCAGGTGCATCTGTCCTGCTGCAGCCTGGCAAATGCCATCCACTGCGCCTGGCTGTTACAATCTTCCCACCCTCTTGTTCGTAAGGCTTCCTGAGCCTTGTGGCACAGATGCACCATTTAAAACGGAGCACTCTGAAGTCTGCTATTCTCTGAATGTTGACCAATTGGAGTCTCTATGCAAGCTCTCTGATGAAAGATGAACAGTGCACTGACCTATCACTACAGCAATACGTCTTTAGGAATCGTTTTAATGCTATGTCTTGTAGCAGAATATACTAGTAGATTGTTCCCTAGGGCCCCAGACCTTTGCAGTAACAAGTTCTTGGTTCTATTGACAGTTATTGTACTTAGTGGTTGATTACATCCATAAAATTTGTGCTCCCATTGCATCCATTAGTGGGCATGTCTTGCTTGGCCAGTCATCAATGCAATTTGCAAGATTCACAGCTGGCTGTGATTGGGTTGCTTTGCTCTAGTCGCAAGCATAGTGCATTTCAGCACTATGAACGCTAGCCGGTAGGGATGAAGCTTCCAACTGAGTACTAGCTAGGTTTTCCCATGTTCTCTATGACTCAAGTATGTGGGATCTTCAGCAATAAAATCTTACTGTCAAATAACCAATAGCCTATAATGTTTTAACCCTCTTTGTGTTTGTAACCTTCTTTGACTTATAGTTTATTATATTACATCATATTTTATGGTGAAGTTTTAGATTGTTTAGAATATTTAGATTGTTTGAATCCTGTGGTATTTGAACAGCCATTATACATACTATACCCACAAACAGAAAACCTACATATATTTAACTACACGGACTGAAAAGAATGAATCTAATTTTTTAAGAAAATTCTAAAAAGGAGACTTCTCTTTTAAGTTTTTAAGTGGATTTGTGGTAGTCATAATTCAGGATTTACTCTACGGCAACAAAATAACACCTGTAAAAGCTTGCTTTTTGTTTCCATTTTCCTAGCTGTTGTGAATTAATTAGAAATGAACGGAGCTAAGAAAGTATCTGTCCAGTTGTTTGGTCACATGCCTAGGAGTGGTACAGCTGGGTGCTACGGCAGATCTATTTAAGCTTGGAGTAATGTCCACAGTGAGTACGGGTTTTCCCTCCTCCCACATCTTCACCAATATTTGTTGTCGGTTGTTTTCTTGATCTTTGCCATTCTGAGTTGAGATGAAATATCAAAGTATTTTAAATTTGCATTTTACTGGTTCCTATCGATGTTAAACACGTTTAAAGACACTTCTTAGCAAGTTTGAGTTATTCTTTTGCGACTCTTAGTTCAGAACCATAAGCCATCTTTAACTGGGTCATTTGTTTTCTTGGCTCTGTTTTAAGTTTTTTATATATTCTTGGATCTTGATCTTATTTCAGATGGATAGCTGGCAAAGATTCTCTCCCACTCTGTGGATTTTTTTCCCCACTCAATTGATCAATGTCTTTTAATTGATGAATGGACATATATACACAATGAGATATTAATTAGCTATAAAGAAAAATGAAATTTTCAGGTAACTAATTGAGCTATAAGATATTATACTGTGTGAGGTAACTTTCAGTTTGTTCATAAAGACAAATGCCACATTGGGGTTCCTTATTAGTAGATCCTAGCTGTGAAATTTTAGCTGTGAGGATATAACCTGGAGCAACCACAGAAGTCAGGAAAGTAAAAACGGACCTGAGGGGATGGGGGAGGGTCCGAGAGAGGGGGATTACAGTATATAAGTATTATGAAGGGATACATGAGAAAAACAGGGGAGGGACTTTAGCTGGGGAGGGGGAGGGACAATAGAGAGGGAGATAGAAAGGGCAAATAACACCAGGAATATTTTTAAAAGCCATAGGGAATAATATTATTTTATGATTATCTAAAATTACATATAATATATACTTTCCATATATTATATACAATTTAAATGAAATTATGCCACCTGGGATGACAATGCTCCTCCCAAAAGTCACAGGTTATTTATCAAAACCTCCAGGGCCAGGTCTGTGAAATGTCATTTCAAGCTGTCCATCAAGAGAGTCCAAGAGAACCCCAAAACAACAACAGGCAATCAGTGTTGCCCTTGTTCATTTCTCTGAGATTGAAGGGAAGGCATTAGTCATGGTGAAGAGAGTACACACTCTGGACACAAGCTGTGGAGGTTTAAAGCGGCATCTGGCCTGGAGGTCTCCTCTTTGGGACTAGCTCTCGAAGTTCCAGAAGGTGCTTCACAGACCCAAACAGCACTCTAGGTCCTGACACATGGCCACCTTCAGATGTATACGAGTCTGCTTTGAATCTAACTGAATGCTCGTTTCCTTACAAAACCCCAGATCGTATCAGTATCCTGTGAGTATTTTGCTGAATTTTTAGTGACTAGATCATCAAATCGAGCTCACTTCTTTTTGCCACAACCATTTTAAACATGGTCTGTCTTTTCCACTTTAGTCTCCATGTGTATATCTTCCTTGACTATTTTTCTTACAAAAGTTATATTATATTTTATGACCTACCTGCATGCGTGTCTGTGTACGGGCAGAGCCTGTGAGTGTAGTTGCCTACAGAGACCAGAGGGGGCTGCATCTTCTGGAGCTGGAGTTACAGGCAGTTGTGAGCTACCACGTGGGTGTTGGGAGCTAAAGTTAGGTCCTCTGTTAGAACATCAAGTTGGCTCATCTTGGCTGCTGAGTCCACCCACCTTCCTCGTGTTTCATCATACAGATGTCTGCCTTCTGCTCGTTTCCCATCATGCACATCTCCTTTAGTCGGTTGGAACACTAGTGTTTCTATGGATGACATGACTCCAACCTTTAGAAATGCATCTTTATTTCATGTTGAAGACCATTCAAACTCGCGTCCAGCCATTAGGATCTTGGACTTACCTCTTTCTCATAGCAGCACATTTCCAAGATCTAATCCCTCATATTCCCTGTTCTTTCCTGCTCATCAATTTACTATTGCCTCTTCATCTCCGTGGAAGGACCTCCCTCTGCTCATTGTCAAGCCAAGTCCTAACTTCTCTATGTCTATCTTCAATTTCCCTCTTCTTTCTAATGTAGCCTACCAGAAATGCCACCACATCTACCTACATTATTTCAACATTTCAGCAACATCTGTACCATTTCTTTGTGACCTCTCTTACTTGTCCTTGTCAAACAGATTTTTGTTACCACATTGTGGTAACAAATGGCATTGTGAGTTCCCACTATAGACTTTTTAAATCTGACTAGGCAACATTATCCCTTTTCTGTACTTATATAGAAGACTATTTATAGCCAGGTGTAGTGGTACACGCCTTTATTCTCAGCACTAATGAAACAGATGCAGATGGATCGCTGGGAGTCTGAAGCCAGTATAGTCTACACAATGAGTTCCAGGACAGCCAGGACTACACAGTGAAACTCTTGTCTCAAAAAAGTTTCAAAGGCTATTTTTAATGATTACCAAATATAATATATATACTATATACATATGTATATATATATATAATTTGATGTTTTACAGTTTGAATTTAATGTCTACCTCATAATTTACTTAATTTACTATATTAATATTTTACCAACTTCAACTGCAAACTAAAAGGCCATTGAGAAAATGTGGGAAGGTACAAAACATAAAGACAAAGGTGGATAAAGAATCACCTGTTGTAGAGTTTCTAGAAGGTATCTATGAAATGAATTTCACCTATGGGGACAGGAAATCCTACCCATATTCAGTTCAGGAAGCCTCTCCTGAGGCTTGCAATGAACAGGAACATCAACTCTGGTTAGTCATTAGCAGGAAGGCTGCCAGACTTCTATTATCACAGGTTAGTGTGCAAACAAAGCACCGTGATGTGCTGCTGATGACAGATTGTGACATAAGCCTTAAATTATTATGTTCATCGTCTGGACTTCCTGCCAGAAAGGTCGATGCGAAAAATGAGCACGTGATTTTTAGTTTAGTGAGGCTAGCTCTAAAGAAAACGAGACCAGAAGAGAACATTATAGGCTAAAAGCATGCCAGTTAAAGAAGATTAAAATAAGTAATACACATTACATGATTTCTGAAGTAATAACAGAAAGGAGGATTTATTGTAAACTTTACATCAAATTTAAAGAAATTGTTTTTAAACAAAAAATAATAAATACGTATTATTTATTATACGTATTCTGAGATAGCTTGGTTAGTCTTATTTAAGAATTGGGTTCTTTTTTCTAGAAAAAAATCAGAAGTTTTTATTTTGATATAGTAATAAATATTTTGGATAAAAAGCAGAATGTGGCAGTCTAAAATCATATCAAACTGAACTATTTTGTGAGGGGATAAATAATAAATGATAATAACTTAATAGTAGAAATGATGGCTTTGGTTATTGGGGATTTGATTCTGTTATCATCTATATGAGATACTAAATACTATAATAAGAAGGAAACAATACAGGTAAGTAATTATTTTTAGGGTGTCTGTAGCTCAGTGGATGGGGAAGCGTAAAAGCATTCTCCAGAAAATGTAATCAATAATTAGGTTAATGGCTCAAGATATGTTAAAAGGCAACTCTGGCTGGGGAACCAGGCACTGAGGGTTTAGTCTTAATTCTCCTATCAACAATGTGATTAGTTAATTTACAAGTTTCTCTGCCTTTCTTAATTTCTTTTTGTGTCTAGGGACTCACATCCTCTCGAAGATGCCATCGGACCGTACAACCTCTTTGTGACATGGTTTTAATCCTAAAACATGCCAAGGAACATGAGGAAGGCGTCATGTGTGTTGCCATGTAGAATGCCAGAGCCACTGCAGTGCGGAACATTGTTCACGTGGCAGGAACTTTGAAAAGAATGCCTACTCCTGTCCATTAATTTACACCTTGGGCAAGTGTTTATTGAGTACCTATTATGTTGTAGACATTCTGTCGGAAATTCAAAGGCAAATAAATCCAACCTTTGTCCAGAGCTGATAAAAAACATGCAGTATTTAAAGATAGAGTAATTACTGTCTTTACAATCGCTATTAGTATTTACTACTCTGAATTATTTATCATCACTAAATTGCTTTAGTATGGCTGCTTGGGATTCTATCAATCATTTAGTGCCCAATTTTCTTGCAACAGTAAAAGATTCTCAAATCATGCGTGTATTATAACTGAAAACAGGTATATAAGATTATTGTCAATAGCTTAAGATAGCCGTGATGAGAGATTATGTTATTTTCATAAGGACAGTTTTAATCCCATTCATAGTGGTTTTCAACCTGTGGGTTGCAAGCCTTTCACAGGGGTCACCTAAGACCATTGGAAAACATAGATGCCTTACACATCATAACAGTAGCAAAATTACAGTTACAAAGTAGCAAAAAAATAATAATTTTATGGTTGGGGGGTCACCACCGCATGACGAACTGTATTAAAGGGTCTCAGCATTAGGAAGGTTGAGAATCACTATCAGAGATCTTCTTCAGAGCAGTAGTTACGCTGTGAGGGCTTGCAGCATAAGAGGGAGTCATGAAAACAGACGTTATTCATTTACTGAAATGTCTGAACTTGCCGGAGACTTTGCAAGGCTTTCCTTAATCCACCTATTTCACGTTACTTCATAAAAGGTCCTCTTCATTGTTATTCCTTTATGAATGCAGTTACATAATACACCGTCAGATAAGTGCAGATTATTTCCCGCTCATATTGAACTAGCCGCAGACATCTTCTGAGAGGAGAGGGTGTCGTGTATAAATACAGGCTAAAATAACATATATTTACGCATGATTTCAAGCAAGGAACTATCCTTCGCAAATGCAAATACTATAGTCGAGTATGATTTTATGTCTAACTGAATTCACAATTAAAACTAGAATTAAGCTATGGATATTGATTGATTGATTGATTGATTGATTGTAGTTCTGGGGATTGAATGTGGGGCCTTGAACAAGCCTGGCAAGGATTCAATCCTTGCATTAAAACCTCCGCTCTCAAAATCTTACTTTAAGCCTGGCCTGGTAGCACAGGCCTTTTATCCCAGTCCTTAGGTAGAAGAGGCAGGCAGATCTGTGTGAGTTCAAGATCAGCTTGGTCTACACAGAAAGTTTCGGGACAGCCAGGGCTGCATAGTGAGACTCTCTTTCAATTTTTCTTTCATTCAGCTCTCAGTAAGTATGACAAGGAAATAAGTAATAAAAATAAGTCAAGTCATTCTGCCTTAACTGTTTATCTGTCTTTAATGAACTACCTTCTCTACAGTTTCCCTCAAAGACTGCTTAAAGGAACATGATGCTAACACATGTAAAGTCTGATTTCTGTTAGCTTGGGATAAGGTCTCACTATGTAGTTTCGGCTGGCTTGGAACTCACTATATAGCCCAAGTTTGCCTCGAACTTGGGAGGGATCCTTCTACTTCTGCCTTCAGAATGCTGGGGTCACAGGTGTACAACACCACACCAGCTGGAAAACATAATTTAAAATGTTAAGGTTTCGATGCTTGCTAGCCCACACAGTTACGTCCATGATGGCTTTGTCATGACCATGTAGGATTAAAACTTTGCGACAAGACTGATGGAGTCTGCTGTTCTCAGCATTTGCAGGGCCAGAATGTATGCAGCAAAAACAATGCTTATCCCTGCTTTGTGGTCCTCTGTGTGCTTTGGGAATGTTTCCACCACAAACTGTAGGTGATAAGGCTTGGAAACGTCCAGTACCAGTTCTCTCCACTCACTGTCCACCCTCCTAGCAAAACAGGCCAGTTCCTCGGTGCCAAATCTACAGCTCACAATGTCCCTAGTGAACACAAAAAGCATTCTCATATCGTACATAATGCTTCCTTTATTGACCCACCTAAGCCATTCATCATCCTGAATACAAGGGTCTAATAGAATCAACTGAAAGTAGAGACGTAGAGGAACTTGTTTGGGAGCCTGGTAACACGTACCACCTTAGGTATGCCGCTAATTCATTTAGATACTCACGATCCGGTTGTACCTACATTTATTTGTGCCTTTGACTCATACTGGAAATTTTCAAAGGTGTACTTGTCAGATCTTCTTTGACGCATCTTAAAGAGTCTGGCACCACGATTACTGAAATGGGACAACTCTTCTATCATGATGTCTCTGGGGATACTGACTTTTTTGCCCAGGATCATGCCATCTACATCTGGAAAACAATATTTACATTCATGAAAATCCAAAAGAAAGCATTTTAAAACATGTTGCTATGTTCTATAATTTGCTTCCTGCCCTGCATTATAGTAAGTGATTGAGATGTGCTTCAGTAGGCTGGCCTTGGGGGTCCTCACCATTTTGGCAGTGCATGATCACATGTGTTGCTTATTTTGTCTAGACCTCCATGTCCTCATGGCTAATGTTCAGCTAATAATAATGAGAATAATAATTGCTACAAGGAGTTGATATTAAATACAGTTCAATTATATTTAGTTACACACATGTTATCAGACACATAAGAAGAATAAATAAAAGTTAGCTATCATGTTATTAGGACAATTTAGGCTTTCCACTTTGTGACTTTTCAAACAGAACTGTTTCATATTTATATTAATAATCTTTGCTTTTCTCCCCACATTTCTATTCACTTAAGCTTTGCCTAGCACTGAAGTGCATGCATGCTCCCTCAGCTCCACCGTCTAGTCTTGGAGAAGCACCATTCATACTGTGCCTGGCACCAAGCACCCTGCATAAAGGGGCCAGGCAAGAAGAGTGGAGCTGACATTTTTCCCAGCCAGTTCTAACGCTGCTTCTGTGGATCTCTGCACTAGAATCTCCACATAGTTACTAATATTTCCATTGTATCCAAAGCCCTGAATCACAACTCTCTTATGTTTTGGATTTTCTTCTGGTTTTAATTTTTTTATGAACCTTATATTGTAAACAAAGGAAAAATTTTGCAATGAATGTTATTCTTAGCTGAGAGTGTGGGTACATGTCTGTAATCCCAGAGGCCAGAAGAGGATGCAGATAGTTGGGTTCATTATCAGCTTCAGTTACATAGTAAGTTTGATGTCAACCTGGGTTACATCTGATACTCTGTCTCAAAACAAAGAAACAAAAAAAAAATCAAGACTAAAGATTATCATTTCCTATCTCTAATGCTAAAGAGCTTTCTCATAAGTCAAGAGAGATAAAATTCTTTTACTTTCATTTACTTTGATTTTATTTTGAGACAGATTTGTAGCCCAGGCTAGTCACCAACTCTTGATACCCCTGTAGCAGCCTTCTCAAGCTCTGGGTTTGTAGCTGTATTTCACCACGCTAAGCGCCTCCAAGTGCTTTTGGAATCAGAAATTTATTTCTGTATAAAGCACAGAATCTCTTTGCCATCAAAAACTTTTTTACGTACCCAGGGAGAATAACTGGACTGCTGGGCAAATAAGTATTTATTTTGACGAGACAGAAACCGTAGTTGAGGTGACAGATTACTGTGACGATTAAGCTTTGAGGAGCGTGTACTGGAACACAACTGTCCTCAGTAGGGTGACAGGCAGAACAGGACAAGGCCAAAGGAGTCGATGAACGAAGGATGAGAGAAGCTGACCTAGAAGACCCATGGTGAGGTCCTTGATAAATAGGGCATGGAGGAGGAATTAGGAAAAAGAAAGTTCTCGCCCCCAGCTATAGACTCATTGGGTTCACAAGAAGCAGTTGCTCCTTTTTAGCAACTCAGTACAAGCGGCCCACAAGGAATAAATGTGCACCCCCAGCTACCAGAACTTACCAGCCCTCAATGGAAGAGCACACCAAGAAATTATCAGCAACCACAGTCGAGTGTTGCTTTAAATGTATACCACAAGAACACAGACACAGTGAACAAAACAGGCAGCTCTTTACCAACTTTCAAGTTCTTCGTTACCTCCCAATATGGATGTCTCAATGTTAATTTCCCCTCCCCCTCCACAGTGGCTGTGAGTGACTGAACAGCTTCTGGATGCTAAGCTCAGGAGCACAAAGGGATGGCTGGGACGCAGGCTGGCTCACAGACCAGACTCACAGATTTTCAGAAATTCTACAAGCCAGCAGTTACACAGTGGAGACGCGATCGTTAAAATTCAGAGAGAAGTCAGGTGTGCTGATACACACCTGGACTCCCAGCACTCTTGGGGGTGGAGGCAAAGGCTCAAGGCCTCAAGGTCAACTTAAGTTCAAGATCAGTTTGTACCTAAAAACTTGTGCATGCACACACGCATGCTCATGTGCAAGAGCACACACACACACACACACACACACACACACACACACACACACACACTGAGTAATGGTGTTATGAATGTAGCTCAGTGGTAGAACATTTGCCTAACCTATGTGAAGCCTTGTTCCATTCTCAGCAATGAGTAGAAAGATCTTCTGGCTATGTATAGTGGGATATATCTCTGTTATCCTGCGTTCAGCAGACAGAGGTAGGAGGATCACGAATAGAAGGTCAACCTGAGCTACAACAGTAAGACCATGCGCAAAACAGCACAAAGTCCCATAATTAGCCAAATCACAGTAAAGACAGCAATGACAATTAAGAAGGTATTGCTCTATAAGTGGCTGGATACCTTTGCTGTTGTCCATGTGGTCTTGAGGTTGTTTGTATGTGTTATAGCTACATGAGGAAAACCTGAAAACACTACAGTGCTTGCTATACCTCTGCTTTATGCGTACCTATGTGACATTCCTGTTGCATGTTTCTCTCCACGCTTCATTTAGTGTCTCTATGATGGGAGCTTGATGTTGGCTGTGGTGAGCATATTTACAACACAAAACATGGCAAACTCCCAACGAAAGCATCATGTCCCTATGTCAGGTATATATTAGACAACATCCTTTGCCTAAACAAACAGCAAAGACAAGCTGACTTCTCAAGGTTCCCCCACACACACCTTTTAAAGTTCAGTTTATGATGTCACAGGTTCAGAACTGTCTGTGAGCGGAGAATCTAGTGAATGATCGCTCTCATTATTCATAACTTTCAGTGCAGAGTGCTGTCCACCCCTGGGCACACAGATTCCAAGCTCAGGTGTCCCTGCCCTTTGGTGTCACCCCAGCACAGGGTTTTAATGGGAATTTTAACCTCAGTGCCCGAGCGATGATACACATCCTTGCCCTCATGACTTAGAAGGTTGTCTTTGAGGCATTAGATCATCCATTGAAAATAAGATTGCTAGGCATACTTTCCGACTGCGGTCATCCCTAGTGATATGGAACCGTACTCAGATCCAAGCATCTAATCCACTGACGGACAATTGCAGTGGGCCGAAGATCTTTTAAAATCGCTTGTTCATGCTTGTCAGGAGACCACAATCTTAGTAGGATGTATCAACCATAGGAGGAGAGCTGGCAGAAGCTTATTTTACTTAGGTGGTCTTACTGCTACAAAGAGATGCTTTGCCACACTTGCAAAGGGCTCCATCTACAAGTGATAGTTCATAAAATCTACTTTTAATATACTATATGCCGTATAGCACACAACACAAGACATTGTAGTACAGTCTGTGATCTTGAATAATGCTTGAAAAATTTTCCAATTAATAAAATTTTACTGATAATTTTTTTCTAAATGAAGATGACTTTGAAATCCATATGAGACACTTTGCGTTCCTACTTCAGATATCTTTGTGTCACTGTGGGGACATTTTGTTGTTGTTGTTGTCGCTAAGGTTTTTTTCCTTGTTTTTTTGCTTTTGAGACAAAGTCTCACTATATGGATCTGGCTAACCTAGAACTTACTACATAGACCAGGCTGCCCTTGAACTCACAGAAATTCAACGGCCTCTTGCTCCCTGGTGCTGGATTAAAGGCATGCACCCCCACCAATGGCTTTCAATTTCAGTTTTAAGACTACTTATAAAGCCTTCCGTTAATGTGTGATTAGCTAAAAAGAGCTGTAAATACTTAGGAAATCCTATTGCCAGTGTTCTCGGCTGCACAGCAGTTCATCCAGCACTGCCCGAAGACTGCAGGAGAGGAGCCTCTTACAGCGAAAGACGCTGGAGAAACCCAGGGCACTGATCAGTAAGAAACAGGATTCAGCTTTGTTCTCTGAAGAACCTTGATCAGGTCAGGGGCTTAGACACTGAGTTCTCAATGGGTGACTGCTCACCATTTTTCAGAATAAAAGATGCTCTATTTCTCCTTGACCTTATGACAGTGAGATGAAAACGTTAAAGAACTATCACAAACCCATGCACTGAATGGCTCCTCCCCCACCCCAAGTGTGGAGGTCTACTAGGTCTTTCTGGTGTCGTCATTTCGAAACTGAAATCTTGCTTGACAGGAAAAGTAAAAACCGATCCTCACACGATCCTTCAACTGAAAGGCCTTGGGCTCTAGAGTTCTTGCGATTTCTGTCCATACTATTATTCCTTTTTTGTTACTGATGGAGAAACAGGGCCCATCCATTCCTGCCTTCAGGCAGCTCTACAGATGTAAACATGGTATTTCTGAGTTAGACGCACAGGTGAAGCCATATCCACACGGAGGTGAGTCCTCCGTTCAGAATTTCAGACCACAAAGCTGTGCTCTTTCCCTGAAATTACAAAAATCACCAGCCTGATTCTCTTCAGTGTGCCCAGGAAAACTATACAAAGAAAGAGACAATAATCCCAAAAGCATGTAACAACAAAGCCCTCCCACAGGGCAGGAGGAAAGGCTGCAGGGGGCAAGCAAGGCAGCACAGCAGACACCACCGAGGTCCCCTTTGCTGTTAAGAGGCTCTGACTCTGAGCGGCTAGTGACATCACAGTCCTGGTCCATCCTGTGGCTGTTTTAGCTCCAGTTCCTTTCCCGGCCATACTCTAGACTGCTTGTCCTTCATCCGTCCTGATGACCCCATCTCTTCCTTTGTCACTCCTCCCTAGCCCTCCTTGTTTAGTCTTCAGGTTTGAAATGAGTTAAGGAGTGAGCGAGGATTACAGTGCATGCTGGAAGCCCATAGAGATGCAGGTAAATTGCACAGGGCTTATGGGTAGGAACTGTGACAGCCTGTCTTCCCTTGTCTTCACGGCTAATCCATGTGTAGACTCAGATGAAAGCTTTCTTCATTCTTGCATCACAGCACACTTTGGATGCTTTGCAGACATGGCTTGCATGCTGCTGTGTGGAGCACAGGGGTTTTTGTTACAACAGTAACACAAGACCACACCCCCCACCCCCATTCGGTCCTCTCAGGCCAGTAGGAATGCAGTGCAGGACTAAGGTGAGGCCGATGGGGCAGAGAGCCTAGGAAACAGGAAATCCATTTCTCCTTTAGCATTTGTTTATTCAATCTCTTGGTCTCTGTCTGGCTCTGTTTCTCTCTCTCTCTCTCTCTCTCTCTCTCTCTCTCTCTCTCTCTCTCTCTGTCTCTCTCTCTTTCAGTGTGTGTGTGTGTGTGTGTGTGTGTGTGTGTGTGTGTGTGTGTATTATGTGACTTCCAAAGATTGAATTCAGGTTCCAAGGCTGACAGCAAGGTTGCTGAGCCATCTGGCAGGCCCTAGACACTTTTATCAGCTTTTTGTTGGATATGTGATGTACTCACTCCTGGTGCATAACATGACACCAAATTACAGTGGATCCCTACTGGACAACAACATGGGAAAGCAAATGGAAACTAGCGATTTCAAAAACTCGTTCTATCCAGTTAACTCTAGTCCGTATGGGTAGAATGTTCCACTAATTCTTTCAGGCATTTTGTCCTTCTAATAGTAAGAGGGATAGAATGTGGACCTAGCCCTCTTATATCTCCCCACTCATCTCAAAGCGTCCCTGGCTATGGTGTCAGCCCTACAAGAGCTGCAGTTGGCTGAACCTCATTCATTATTATTGTTTTTGGAGTGTGTTAATAATAACACAAGGTTTTCTAATACTTAACACCGTTCTTATGTGCCAGGAGACTAATTAGTCTTAAAATTAAGGTCAGAACTCTAGCATATACCATTTTAAACCATCCAGATGTTTCATAGCTGCAATATGTTTTAAAATACACTCATCCCCGCCATAAATGTTTCCTCTGAAGTCCGTATCTCATTTCTACGTCTATGGAAAAGGTGACGGCATTCCCCAGCTGCAGTGTCCTCGGCTCCCTGCAGCATACAAATAGTTAAGTTTCGTGCAAGACTCCAGCAGGAAGGAAAGAAAGAAATGAAGTATTTGTCCTTCTTCATAATATTTAGTTGTCTTATCTTGGATGACTCTGTTTATCCAGCTTATCTAGAATATTCAACATCATAAAGCCCGAGTCTGGGGCTCTTTCTACCTGGGCTGGAGCTCATCCGATGTTGGAGGGAAGGCTTTCACATGGCCAAGACTTCCTGGTGGGGAGGTTGTAGTGTTCCCCATGGATACATGAGTGTATTTTCTTTATATTTTCTAAATATAAAGTTTTCAATCATTATATTTATAAAAATTATGAAAATATAATTTTACTTTTGTAGATATAGGCAAGCAAATAAAGAGTACAATCTGACATATAATTTGGAACGAGATTACGTTAAATGGATTTACTTGCTTACGGTTGTGATGTAATTAGATGGGGTCAATTGTGTCCAGGGTGGTATGGACTAAGACAATTATGATGATGACATAATGGAAAGTGATTTAGCCAAAGCCTAGTTTTACAACAAACAATTTAGTCTCAAACTTCAGCTGTCATCTGATTTTACCATATTGACACAAACAAGCAAATTATTGCCCAAAGTAGGACACCAGAAGATATACACAAATTTAAAAGAAGCAGAGGGGTTCAGAAGTTTGGATTGATATAATCTGGTTGCTCAGACAGAATTACTCTCATTTAATTCTAAATGAATTTGGCACGAACATAAAACCTGGGAAACAAACAGAAGCCGGCACAATGACTTGACAGCGAAGAGATTAAAGGCGAGCCGTACCCTTTCAACACAACTGTGCTATGTGGCCGGTATGTAAAACACTTCGATTGGTAGTTCAGCTTGCTTTACGGAAAGGATGATGTGAAACACTACACTTGGCGTGGCTTCCAGATGCCTCCCCAGGGTTCATGCATCTAGATGTGAATATTTTCAGGGTGCATCTCCCCACTTGTCAGCTGAACGACCATGAAGGGACACCCTGTGAATTCCACAAACCTGTCCGGAATGGCTCAGATCAGCCCGGAAAATGACCTATGTATTAAACTCAAAAGTTAACAGGATGCTCATTTTCATTCATGAGCAAACTGTATTTGTTTTTCAAACAAGTAAAACGTAAGGCCTTTTTAGAAAGGCCAACTAACTTAATCCAGAATTAGTTGCTAGGATTTTAGAATAATAACAATATTATTTATTATTGGACTAATATCTTACATCTATCATATGTTAAAAATAAAGTTGTCTTGACGTTAAAAGAACCCTGGTTTTTTTTTTCAGAAAGCAAAATTAAAAGTAGATTCTGCATGCAATATATGTTAGTAAATCAATTGCTGAATGCGAAAACGAGTGTCAGGTGTAAACCGTGAATACGAATGCCTACGCTGTCAGTCGTATTTGAAAACTTTAGAAGGCGGATAGAACCTATTTTAAATTTTTTGATGTAACACGAAGTAAAAGAAATCAAGATAGAACAACAACAACAAAAAAACCCCACAGGGTTGTATGAAAATTATCTACAAAGCAGCGGAACCTGTAAGCATCGTGCTCGCTGATAGCGTGAGGAGCCAGGAGAATGCACACCAGCTGTCAGCCTGCCTCATTCCTTTTGCAGCAGCTGCCCATCTGAAAATAGCTCCAAATGAGAAAGGAGGGCTCCAAAGGGATCCGTTACCATAGGTTTCTCCACAGCACCCCGAGAGCCTCACGTTTGTTACGGTGGGTGGGAAACGGACTACAGAATAGTCGCCCCAGAAGGGATCTATACTTAAGCCACGCTGCATTAAGACCATGACGAGGTTCGAGTGGTACCGTTTCCGTGGATTTCCTTTGTGATGGCCGACGCCTGCTGCTTCCTTTGCTTCACCGTGGCACTGTGCGATAGCATGGTGTTTTGGTTCCCTGTTGAAAACAAAGGGACACTGTTGAGACAGTGTAAAGAACTCGTCGTGACCATCCTTTCTGCAAGAGAACATCCTTCTTCTTTATTAAGAATGTATCATTGCTTTTGACTGAGTGACCACCATATACTGCTTGTCTGTCTGCAGTGCATGGTTTTCAGCAGCAGCCCATGTCCCAGGGGACAGAGGACGACACAGCCTCAGACCCCTTCTTTCAGTGTGCTGACCATTTTGCACTGAGAAGCAATGGAAGTGCCAGCTTCCTTGTGCTCCCCTCTCTTTCCTATAATTTAGTTTTTTGGTTTTCATCTCCCAGTGCTTCTCCTGGCTGCCATCCCACCAGCATCAGAGGACATCATTTCCAGCACCCTTTAAGACCGAGGAAGAGGCCAGCCTCAGCCAGAACTCTTTGGTGCTAACATTTCAGGTCGACATCAACAGCCTCTCTTTAGAGCAAAGAATGGCAAATTTATGAGTCACAACTCTGGACCTCTGGGGACAACTGACTAATACGACATTTTAGGAAACAATATACTCACCTTACTGTCAGACTGCACTTTTCAGCAGGGGTGGGTCCCAATTGTAGAGGAAAACGCTGAAGGTGGAATATGATGGCACTTGGGCCTGATGGGTTTTATCCTTGAACCTGGAACGGCATGGTCCCTAGCTCTGACTCAAACTGGGGACTGAGCCTCTCTGAAGAGACTGGCATCCAGCTGACATCAACTGACTATATATAGCACCAAATACTTTAGCTACTCATATCTTCCTGGCAAAGGGGAGGGAGAGGGAGAGATTAAGTTCTCTCTATTGTGTTTCTGGCCTGTGATATAGTCGAATGGAATACTCATTCAAGAAGAACGTTTTTAGTGAACACCTTCTGTTGGAAGAGACCACAGCCCACATGGATTTTAAAACATTTTAAAGATGTAGTTCTTATTCTATATCGTAGTTGAGGCAACAAGAGACAGGTATTAATTAGAGCAAAACGATGGCTTATTCAGAATCAAAATGAACTGTAGGGGCCCTGGAGAGATGACTCTGTAGCTAAGGATATTTGCTGTTCTTCTGGAGGACCTGGGTTCAGATCCCAGTCACCCGCGTGGTGGCTCACAGCTGCCCGAACTTCAGCTTCAGAGAATCTGACATATTTTTTAGCCACTACAGGTGGGCATGCACACATGTGTGCGCGTGCGCGCGCGCGCACACACACACACACACACACACACACACAGAGAGAGAGAGAGAGAGAGAGAGAGAGAGAGAGAGAGAGAGAGGAAGAGGAGGGCGAGGAGGGGGAAGAAGGGAGAGGGAAGAGTAAAATAAACCTTTTTAAAAATTAACATTATGCACAATATTCATGAGGCCTCATCAAGACCAAAGCTGTGATGAGTTGGTCAACAAAGCAAAGATGTAATCAAAGGGGAAAATGGTTGCAGCTTTTAACAACAGGCAACATCTGAATAGGGACATAAAGAGAGCTTAAAATTGACCGTTACGGGTTGAGTCACGGAGCTGTAGGCTTCTAACTGGGTCACACTTTGGAAGGCATCCATAAAGGTTATCCCTGCAAAGTTGCCCGGCCTCTTCCAGGCCCGGAGGGAAGGATCTCTGTCTCTAGGAACAATAACAGGGATCATCCTCAGCGTCAACCATCCTGGCTTCCTTGGTGGATGGACTTTGATCACAAAGTCACGTTCCCTTCTCCCACGCGGCGTTTTTCTTTCACTCTTTCCCATTCCAGAAACACCCTTCCCTGCTCACCTGGCTCACTTCTTCACGCGTTGAGGGCTCAGCTTGAATGCTAAGTTCTCACGATACCTGGTCCCAACCATCCCGCCTACATCACACTATACCACTCTCGAGTCCCTCACTCAGTGTTCTTAGTGCCTTGAAATTAGTCAAGAGTGATATCAAATGCGAGTGAGTGATGGAATCACTGCTCATTGAAACAAACAACCAACAATGAGGTGGACTTTTGTTTGTCCCCCAACCCGAGAAAACTTAATCCAGAGTGAGGAACCTAGGGTGCATCTAACTGACCTAACTGATCTTGACTCCCTTCTTTTTACGCCATTATCCCTAAAATCCAGACCTCCGAGATCTAGATGATTGTTCCAGCTAGCAGCCTTCTATGTTAGCCGGCAGAAAAGAAAGACAAGAACATTCCCTCTTTAGAAGATGTCTGATTATTATTCACCTCTTTCCTGTTTATATCCATGGAGCCAAGGTTAGTCATAGAGTCTCACACAAAATAAAAGAGTAATCTACACTTAAAAAAAAAGGAGGTAAAGGTTTCAGAGTAATAGTTCTCGGTATCCGCCCCCAAAACATGACACTCTCTTATCTAATCTTATCTTAATCTAATCACTGATTTTTCTACTGCATCTTCTTATTACTAAACTATGCACTCTGAAAGAATCCGGCCTTGCTGTGTCTTTAGCATGCAGAACTGAGAACTGGATGTGTAACTCAATTGATAGAGGGCCATCCTAGCATGCATGAAGTCCTGACTTTGGTAGCTAGCGCCACATAAATTGGACATGTTGGCACATGCTTATAATCCTTGCATTTAGAAGGTGGAGGCAGAAGGAGGAGGGGCCAGGAGTTCAAATTCGTCTTCAGCGACATAGAGAGTGGGAAGCCATCCTGGGCTACATGAGACTCTGGCCCAAACAACAACAATAACAACAACAAAACCCCAAGCCAATTAAAAAACATTTATCTGGTAAATACATACTTTATTTCAATGTAATGAATTAGGAGTCTGGGGTCTAATTATGAAACACATCAAAAGGCCGGCATGAATTTAGAGTTCTCTTGTGTGGATCACTTGGGAAAGTATGAAGTTGTGATAAGTGACCAGTCATTTGAATATAAGATGGTAGCTGGTTTTGGTAGAACTTGCACTAAGAGATTGAGAGAAGCTTGGAATGGAGTTCAGTCAGAGTGCTTACAAGGCATGTGTCAGGTACGGGATTTGAACCCCTGCACAAATAAATTAATTAAACTAAAGAGCATATGTTCAACTGAGATGAGACTGGACACTGAAAGAAATGGACATAGACTGTGAACCTAGCCAAAGCATTAATTTTTAACACTGAAGGTTGACGTTTCTCTCTTGCAACCGCTCCCGGGCAAACATTTGCTCAGAAGCAATTCACATAGGGCCAATAAGAAATCATTTAGTTAAAGTCAACAAATTTGCATTCATCTCAAGATCCTTCAATTAGCTGGTTGGATGGGGGTGCACAACTGCAATCTCAGCACCCATAAAGTAGGGGAGGAAAAATTCAAGCCATCAACTCCACAGCTGGCAGTAGGTTATCCTGGACCCCAAAAAAGAAATTCCAAACCACAACCAAAATCTTTCAATTTTCCTTTATTCCTGACTCTAGCATTAGCTGTTAGATCTTTTAAAATAGTTTTCTAATCTGTAAAATGAAGATTGTAGTATCTGTTATATAGCCGTGAACAATTTGTATAAAAATTTTAGAAATTCCTTAAATATATGAAAGTTTAAAAATGTTTGTTTATTGCTGTCCCTATAATATGAAGGGCTTTAAAATAATCAATTGAGTTATTTAGTAAAAATATAGATTAAGAAAGTCCTGGTTTTTCTACCTACTCATCTTATTTCCAGTTTTACATTGGATACAGCTATAAGGTTGAAATCAATATTTTTGAAAATTTGAAATGTATTTTAGGATATTAATAGCTTAAATATTTCCATTTAGTTTTCAAACATACTTTAAACTATTTTGTTTAATCAGTAATTGTTTAACTGGTGTTTTGGTTTCTGAGTTACTTTTGTTTGTAAAGAAAAATGTAAACCCCCAGCGTTGTAGATTTTAAGGCAGTATATGTTGGGCATCCATCTCATGACACAGTGGAGAGAGTCACATAACACTCGGGTGCTAAGGGGAAGGAAGCCTCGCCAGGTGTTCCGTTCTTGAAGGCTCTTGATTTCCAACAAAATCACCGTCAGTGTATTTCTATTGTATCTATAAATATATTTGGCACTTGACCGAATTGTACCCTGCCCCGCGTCACACTGGGATCACCCTTTGGTCTGTAGCACCACGATCCCATTCCTATGGCCCAGGCCCAGCCCTGACCCTGCTCCACCCTCAACACTAGAAGAGGATATCCCCGTACTCAAGATACTTTTTATCTCACTAAGTCCTGCCTTCCTTGGAAAATCTTCCAAGGTCTGTTCAAACAAGGCAGTGCTTTCTTTTCCCCTTGAGTTCTGAATTCTTAAGTAGTTCACAATTGATGCTAAAGACAAACAAACAAACAAAAAAAGGAGACTATTTTCCTTAATGAGCAGAAGGATGGCATTCTAGTGTCTAACCTCTGTCTTGGGAAGATAGAGACTGAAGTTCCTTTGCTGTGTATGTGGTATAGCTACAATATCTTTGTAGTGCAACTGTTCCCATTGTTGGGCCGGCCCCAGCTGCATTTCCAATCTTACCATTTGCTGAAAGATCAGAAAAGATCAGAAAAGATCATCGCATTACTGCCCAACAAAAATTCACATCTTGAGACCCATGAAAGGCAAACTTATTCAACTGTGAGTAAACACAGGCACCTCAGCCAACCAGTAAACAAGGTTTGCCATGACTGCCCTTAACGGAGAGCTTGTTTTGAAACTGTGCTTCTCCTTGTCCTCTTTGCAGTCTATCTTAGGTGGCTGCGGGAAATTCCAGATTCAGGCAGGATTTGAAGGGTGCAGGATGTGGGAGCTGACTGGGAGCTGAGCAAATATCACACTACTGTTCCTGAGGTTTGGGTTCAGGTTGACACACATGAAGCCCAAACAGGGCATTGAGGGACTCCAACAGCAAAGCTGTCAAGCTACCTGTGAGGAATGAATAACAAATCAAACCTTAAAATAAGCCAGGGAAAGAGCAGGGAGAAGGAGAATGCAAAGACCAGTCTGTCAAGGCAATGTTAAAGGGTAAGTCTAGGAACTTGGAAATATACTTCACAGTTGTGTGAACAAGTAGAAGGACTATTCATGAAAGAAGGGATTTGGTTTGTCCAAAGTGCCCTATTCTTTGTTTCACGCCTCACTGGCCTGCTGAGTTGTCCAGGGTTTCCATTTTCCTATTCAGGAAATGGCAGAGCAACTGACAGACTTCTTCACTGGCCATAAAGAAGGCCAAGTACTGACTGTTTTCCCCACAAGGCAGTGTGAGATGATTCAAGAGAGACAGGTGAGTTTGAAAGAGATTTCACACTGTGCAGTGGTGGCACATGCCTTTAGTCCCAGCTCTCGAGAGGCAGAGGCAGGCAGATCTCTGTGACTTTGTGACCAGTCTTGTCTACAAGGACAGTCAAGGCTACACAGAGAAACCTTGATTTGAAAATTTGAAAAAAAAAAAGGAAAAGAAAAAGAAAGGAAGGAAAAAAGGGAAGAGAAAGAAAGGAAGGAAGGAAGGAAGAAAGAAAAAAAGAAAGAAAGAAAGAAAGAAAGAAAGAAAGAAAGAAAGAAAGAAAGAAAGAAAGGAAGAAAGATCTCACTATAGAAAAAAGTCTAAAAGTGGGAATGTTATGATGTGTGAGGCACAATTACAGGCACCTCTGTATTTGTTATGCCTGAAGTGTTTCAAAGACATGGAACTGCGGTCTAAGGACAATCTCCACAAGGTCATGTTTGTAAGTTACAGAAATGGAATTATTAACTGATTGTGTCCAATTCAAAGACTTTGCATTTTTA